TATCACGACGGTAACACCGTTCTTTTTTGGCCCTCTCCTCTTAGAGAGCGCCTTTTCTTTCCCCCATCTTCCCCCTTTCCGTCGTGATGGCGACCTATCCAAATAGGTCGCCAAAAAATTGGCGGCACTTGGCCTTGCCGTAGAAAAACCAGAAAAACGCTTTTTACAAACTAATTGAACGCTAACAGATAATAATGAGACTATATATCAGAAATTATTATCATTTTCCAATTTCTTGTGCTTTATATGAAAATTAATGTTTTGGGCAGCTGAGATTGCTCACTAAAATGTTCATTATTTTATTTATTTAATTTAATTTATTTATTTTTTGTAAGTACATAAATTGAGATTTTTTTTATTTCAAGTATTTGAATTTTAAATTAGAATTTGAATATAAAGAATTAAATCTTAAGAACATATTAGTTTCTTTTTTTGTTTAATTTTAAGGTTTACAAATTATAAATCTTTAAAAAATTCGAGATAAAAAATGTGTTATAAAATTTGCGAATTTTCCTATTTTTCTGCAACGAGACAGAATGTTATGAATTAATATTAATCATTACAACTTATAAAAGAAGGATTAAATTACAATAAAGAAGCACCACAGCTCACTCGAGGGCGTGGATATAGAGTAAACCTAGTTACTAGATCAGTGCTGTCAATACTAGTCACAACTGATCTAGTATTTCGATTTTTGGTTTCGATTTGTCGAGCATGCGCAACTAATTCGTGTGTAAGAGGGAAGGTGTAGTTTACAAACATATCACTGGCGAGATTTTTGACTTCATATTGTTATGCCAAAAATCAATCTTATGTTAACCCCTGCGCTTGTTTTCGATGTCAGTATACCTACCTCAGGAGTTCCTTTCATTCTGTAGGGGTGGGGGTAAAGACCACAGGTGGTATGTTCGGTGAAACACCCCTAGAACCATTTTTAATACTGTCGAAGATTATTTTAAAGAGAAAAACATTCCTCTTTCGAATATTATGTCCATTGCCACTGATAGGCTCCTGCAATGGTGGGTCGACATCGTGGGTTTATCGTCCTTTTGGAAAGGGTGGCACCAGATATTTTAACTGTTCACTGCGTGATTGACAGACAGCATTTAGTAGAAAAAAATCTCAGTGATCGTTTGCATCAATCATTGCAATATGCCATATCTGCTGTGAACAAAATTCACAGTAAATTCAGACGCTTGCTACTATACACCGAGATTCACTGGCTTTTCAAAAGCTTCTGTCACAATAGGTACTGGAATCTTGTCGACACTGTGCTTGAGTTCCTCAAAAACAGAAATGTAGCTCTGAGAGACAGATTGCTAGAATTTATGAAAGACTTTGGCTGATTTATCTGTAAATTGGGGATATTATCATAACTACGGCAAGTTGGCGAAGAGTCGCCGAGGAAGGAAGATAACGTTTCTGGCGGAGGGAACCAGTTTTCCTGGAATCATGACGTTTACGCCTCTTCCTTCTCA